CTTGATCCTATGTATTTTTTCTTTATTTTTTATTATTACTATTTTTTTTTTTTTTTTTTTTTTTCTCTACACATTTGTGAAAAAAACCACAGAGGCAGGCTGTACAGTGACTGATCACTGTTATAGCCGATCAGAGGTTATCACAGCGATAAGTGACCTGTAACTCGGAGTCCTGGGTCCCGATCATTAGCATGGGATCCGGGGCTCCCGGGAACAGCCTGGCCTTTGTGCTGTGTGAAGCGCTCCCAGCATAAAGAAAGATATGCATATATGCAGCCCCACTTAAAAAGCCCAGTTCTATGGGGCCACATATATGTGTGTAAGGTCGTCATGAAGCGGTCAAAGTGTTTACCACTGTTACATGCAAACTTACTTAAAGGGCAACTCCACTTTCATGGAAAAAAATATAGCTTATATACAACTAAGTCATTGTGTAATTATAGGCTTTTAAAATGGCATTTTCATTTCAATATGCAGTGTTGTAATTTTCTGTAAAATTCAATGCAATGTGGCAAACTGGAGGTGGTCTGAAGACTGTTACAGAATTTATCCAAAAATAACATTTCCTGCTTTGTGTGTGAAGAGCTCTGTACTAAGATACAAATCAGGTTTTAGGCATCTGCTGCAACATAAATGTCATATTTAGTGAGATACACTCTAAGGGTTAACTACTTCTCCAGGGATGTAAAAACTGCAACTGTTCATCAGAACACTGAAAGTGCATCAGCTGATAATAATGAACCAGTCACTCCCATTCGGAATCACTCTACACCTGACATTGTCAAACTAAAAGCATTTCCTTCCGAGCAGAAATCGTTAGGAATCTGCAATAAAGTTTGTTAAACTGTACATTGATCACCCGGACGTTAGTAACTCTTTAACCCCTTGACGCCGACGTCACACAAATATGTGGCCTCACAGAACTGTGCCTTTTTCCGTGGGGCTGCATATTTGCATATCTGTCTTTCTGCCGGGAGCATGCCTCACTGCGGACTTGCAGCGCAAAGACCGCGGTGTCACTGAGAGCCCTGGGTCCCGCTCTAACGATCGGGACCTGGGACTCCCGATTCCGGGTCATATGATCTCTGTGATAGCCTCTGATTGGCTATCACAGTGATCAGTCACTGTTCAGCCCGGCCCCCTTGTTTTTTTTCTCTCTCTATGAATGGAGAAGAGAGATACATTGTATCTCTCTAACTCCTGGCATAGAGAGAAAAAAAAATGCTTGTACAAAAAAAAAAAAAGATAAATAAATATTAAAAAATAAAAGAAAAAAATACCTAGATTAAGGTTTGATCTAGTTCAGTGCCAGGGTTATTGTTTGAGTCAAGGTCAGGGTCAAAGATCAAGGTAAAAAGTTCAGGGTCAAAGGTCAGGATTTTTTTTTAAAAAAATTAGTGTTCGTGTCAGTGTCTTTTAGGTAAAAAAAAAAGACAAAAACAAAATGCGCACTATTGTTTCTGGGCTGTACTATGGGTGAAAACAACAAATAACATACACATATATGGTATCACTGGATCGTCAAGAGCTGGAGAATTTATTTTGGGTTGTTCTTTGCTGGTAGGTTATGGTGGTAACAAGAAACAAACAGCTAAATAAAAATATTTTTTTTTTTACTATTTTGGGCCAGTTTTCCTTTGATAATAAAAAAAAATCAGGAGATGTCCATTACCATTTACCACCAAATGGAAGCCCAATTTGTCCTAAAAAAAAATGCGGTATAAGTCACCTGGATGTACAAAATAGTTGTGATGATATGTACGGTTTTACTAACACATGTCAATGTTGTAAAATTGTGCTTAGGCATTTAGATATGTTTTGAAGGGGTTAAACTGCAATAGATCTGTGGGGTTTCTTGCCTGAACGTTCTTGTTTCAGATCTCTTCACCTTTTAATCAGCAAAGCAACCCCAAATCATAAGATTTCTACCACCATGCTTCACAGTTGGTATAATGTTTCTCTCTTGGAATGCTGTCTTCAGTGTGTGCCAAACATGTCTACTGTTACTGTGGACAAACAACTCTATCCTTGATTTTTCATGCCACAACGCAGTTTTAGAAGGCCTGGCCTTTGCCTATATGTCCAAATACAAACTGTAGTCTTGCTCCAATATTGCCAGTCAGGATAAATTGGTGCAACCTCTTTCAGATCACAGGTGCATGTATTTTGAAAACAACTGTTGCAAAAGTTACCTAAAAAAACCCCACAGTGATATTTTGGGGTTCTTGGAGACTTCTTTTTAAGATCAAACAATTAGCTCATGGGCTGAGTGTAGGCCTGCCAATCCTGGACACATTTTCCGATGTCTGAAATCTATTCCACGTATAGATTATTTTTCATACAGTGAAATGCTTGCTTTCAAGTTGTAGACTGTTTTCCTAATTTTGCAATTTTTTAAAATTCTTAGCCAGGCTTATAGACATCCACAACCTTCTTTCTGAGAACCTTAGAGAGTTTTTTGGCATGATGATGCTAGTGTGTCTAGTTGTGAATGGTCACAGCGATCACATGCACAGGCTGGACTATGCACAGCCCATCTGTGTCATGTGATTAGCCATGGCCAATCACAGCTCATCACAACAAAAAAACCTGAATGAATCAATTTCATTCAGTTAAATGCTTGCTTATAGCAAAGAAATTATTTGCTAGAAACAAATTGTGTAAAAAAAAAAAAAAAAAAATGCTGATCACTTCCCCAAAGTAGTACAGTGTTACTATGGTAACATTATACTACTTTGGTCATAGTGTAATATGAAAAAAAATCATAAAAAAAAGAGAAACATTTAATAAAAAATAAAAATAATACAATTAAAAAAAATAATAATTATCCATTGTTTTTTTTTTTTCATACTGTCACCAGTCAGTGTCCCTGATCACCACCACACCAGTTATATGATGACGCTGTACTGCACTGGTAACAGTATGTAAAAAAAAAAAATTGTGAAAATTGTTTTAATTTCTTCATTTTCCAAACAATTATGACAAAAAAATGACAACTTCAAAAAAACTCGCCATGCCTCTTATGAAACGTACTGTCTACTTTGCAAAAAGTAGTCATTTAGGGGATATCTGTACTGTTCTGACATTTTTGGGCCTCAAGAAATTAGATTGGTTGTCAGTACTTCAGGATTGATCAATATTCAGATCTATACCATAGTTTTTGTGAACTCTATAACTTTCCTACAAACTAAATAATAAATACTGATTTGGGTTATTTTCACCAAAGACATGTAGCAGAATATATATTGGCCTAAATTTATTAAGAACAATTATTTATTTGCAAACTTTTATAACAGAAAAAAAGAAAAATGTGGGGGTTTTTTCCAAAAATTTCAGTCTTTTTTTTGTTTTATTTAGCAAAAAAAATAAAAACCCCAGTGGTGATTAAATACCACCAAAAGAAAGCTCTATTTGTGTGAACAAAATGATAAAAAATTTTAGTTTGGGTACAGTGTTGCATGACCGCGCAATTGTTATTCAAAGTGTGAGAGCGCTGAAACCTGAAAATTGGCCTGGGCAGGAAGGGGTAAAAGTGCCTGGTATGGAAGTGGTTAAACCAGGGGTAGGCAACCTGCTGCTCTCCAGCTGTTGCAGGACTACAAGTTCCATCATGCCTCTGCAAGTCATAGCTGTAACTGTCAGTTTTGTAATGTTGCAATGCCTCATGGGAAATGTAGTTCCACAACAGCTAGAGAGCCGCAGGTTGCCTACCCCTGGGTTAAACTGACACTAAGGGCTCGTTCACATTTGACTTTATATCTAACTCTTGCCAAATGCCCCTATAGCGTTAGACAGGCGTTAGACAGGAGTTCGGGAAAGTGTTTTTAACGCTCCTCAAATGCTCTCCAAATGCCCTATGTGCGGTTTTGAGGCGATTGATAGGCATTTGCCAAGTGTTTAAAACCGCACCACAAACGCTTATAATGAAATTAAATGGTATTAACACTCCGCAAACGCCTCGCAACTGGCTCAGAACTGCGTCGCAAACGCCTGTCAGACGTTTAAGGAGCGACACCATAGACTTGAATGGAAGGCTTCAACTCCTCCTGACTGGACAAAAGGCGCCAGTTTTGCTGCGACACGACGCTAATGCTTCAGTGTGAACAGCACTGTGTTCTGCCATGTGCAGAATTAAAAACACTTCCCAAACGCCTGTCTGATGCCTGCTGTCAAAGCTAGTATGAACTGAGCCTAACATAGTAGTGCTGAAGTGACACTGTAAAGGGAGGACAAATGAACTCAACAGGAAGAGCAATTAATTGAGTTAGGTAAAATATTTTGTAAAAACCTGTAATACATCATCACCATCATCATAATATTGAACAACTGAGAAAGAAAAGCCAATTAACACAAATCAACCAACACTGAGCAAAGACAGAAAAACAAATCTGGTACTTTGTTTTTTTTTTTTTTTTTTTTTAATAGAGCCAATATAATATAATATTTTCTATGCAGAAACACTGCAGAACCCATTGTGAAAGCTCACCTGATTTCAGATGTTATTTGTAAACATAGAAGCCAGCAAAGTAAGTCTTCCATTATCCACATCCTGTGTTGTGATTTGCATTGCATGATCTCATCAATCAAAGCCTCAGAGGAATAGAGTAATGGAAGAATTCCTCTGCAGGCGTCTATGTTTTTAAGCAATGTCAGCAATTTGGTGAGCTGTCACAGCGGGTCCTTCCTGATTGAGTTATGGATGGAACCCGTGGTCTAAATTAGGTGTACGTTTAAGCTGAGAATTTTTTTTTTTCTCCATTCAGATCTCTCAGAGAAAAAACTTCTCTGCAGCCTGTTTATGAAGTGGAGAACTTCTGTTCTCAGAGGGAGAATAGAAGTTTTTCCTCTGAAAAATGGCTGAGATCTGTGTAGAAAGGGGGGAGGACTGCCTGTGATCTCGAAAGATATAGTGAGATTACAGAGCAGCCTAGTTCAAAAAGTGAAACCAAAGTTAAAAAGACCATGTAATTACATAAAAATACTAAGCATTAGGACACTAGGGCTTTTTGCTAACATGTATTTTGGCCAGGGGCGGACTGACCATTTGGAAACTCGGGCACTGCCTGAGGGCCCGGGGTCAGTAGGGGGCCCCATGAGATGCCCCTGGTACCTTTTTTCATAGGCTTTTTTGAGTTTGGGCAAGGACACAGGGGCCCCATGATCCCCTATTGCCCGGGGGCCCCATGAGTTGTCAGTCCGCCCCTGATTTTGGCTTTTTTTTTAATCACACATTGTGGTGCATTCTTTAAATACATATTTTGGTCCTTTTTAACCACTTGCCCTCCAAGGGATTTACCCCCTTTCCTGACCAGGCTATTTTTTGAAATACAGTGCTGCATTACTTTAAGTGACAATTGCATGGTCATGCAACGCTGCAATGAAATTTATGTCCTTTTTTCCCACAAATAGAACTTTCTTTTGGTGGTATTCGATCACTTCTGCGGATTTAATTTTTTTGCGCTATAAACAAAAAGACCAACAATTTTGAAAATAAGAACCAATATTTTTAACTTTTTGCTATAAAACATATCCAATAAAAAAATGTAAAAAATTAAATTGCATCATAAATATAGGCCAAAATGTATTCTGCTACATGTCTTTGTTAAAAAAAAATCCCAATATGTGTAAATTAATTGGTTTACGTGAAAGATATAGCTTCTACAAATGGTGGTATATATACCAGAATTTTTTTTTTTTACACTAGTAATGGCGGCGATCCGCAATATATAGCAGGACTTTGGGACTGCGGTGGGCATTCTGACACTGGGTGGGAACTGACTGACTGCCACTGACATCCCCAGTGACACTAATATAGTGATTAGTGCTAATAAAAAGCACTGACACTGTACTAATGACCTGGGCAGGAAGGGGTTAACATCTGGGGCGATCAAAAGGTTAACTGTGTGCTGTCTTACCTGATGTGCTGTGTGTTTTTACTAGCAAGACATGCTGCTTTGTATTTCTCTGCTGTGCAGAGAAATACAAAGCACCATGTCCTTGCTGACAGGAGAAAGACATTTGTTGTTTACACACAGGCCTCTCCTCTGTCAGCTTTCCTTGACGATCGCTGAGTGCCACCCGAGAATAGTCGGCCAGCACGCGCCCCCTACCCGGAAATGCAAATCACGTGTGTGTGTGTATGTATATGTGTGTATATGTGTGTGTGTGTGTATATATGTGTGATTTTGTGCAGCCCTGCTGCCCTGTAGTACTTCTACTATAGGGCAGCGAGCAAGTGGTTTAATGCACATTTTAGTGTGTGTTTTTTTGTTTGGTTTTTTTTTAACGCAATTTGGTGCAGGTTTTTTTATTCTGCGTTTTGTCACTCTGCAAGTGTGTGCTTTTGGTGCTTAATATAACATATGTGTTTACGCACAGGTTTTTTCTCACGTATTTTGGTGTTTCTTTTAACACATTTTGGAGCTTTTTTAATGCACATTTTGGGCATTTTTTTTAATGTGCATTTTGGGCAAAACTTGCATCTGCTAGCCACGTTTGGTGTGTCATTAACAAATTGCACTGCACGTGTGACATGCATTTTGCATGTGTTTCTGAAATGCACACAAAAACACATGTTTCTGCAGATTCCTGGAATGCACAGGTGTGATTGGGGTGTGTTAACAAGATGAGCCAAAATGCATGTAAAAAACCCCAAGCCAAAATGCATAATTAATAAAAAAAGCGCCAAAAAAATGTACATTTTAAAAAATGCACCAAAGTATGCATTAAAAAAGCAACAAAAATGCCAAAATGTACCTTTTCAGGCAGAGTTTTTTTAACGTGTTTTGGCACTTTATATAGCGCATTTTCACATGAAGTAACATTAACAATGAATGGCACCCAGAAGCGCGTTGCGCTTTTTGCCACAACGTCAGTACGGTCGGGAATCGCAGACAATCATGTAATAAGTATATATATAAAATTTATATTAATAATAAATATATATATATATATATATATATATATATAAAATTTATATCAATTTTTAACCCTCTATTGCTGATATATAGGAAGAAAAGAGTCTTCTTCCTCACATAGCACCAGCTTCTCTCCCAGACTCTCCACTTCTTAGTTGGAGAATCTGGGATTGCCTGAATTGGGGTTACATGAACCGATACACATGAGAGCTCAGCCACAATCCTCAGAATCACAGCTCTTCTCTCTTTCATAAACAGACACCTTAAATGCTTAGGGATGAATGCTGTGAGGGAAGTTGAACCCCCTCATAACCCTCTCGTATCTACATCGGAGCAGGACCCCCGACCCGTAATGTTGAAAACATTGCACCTAGGGAAGCTGCCCCCCTCCTTGCAGCCCTGACCAAACCTGAGAGATCTGAAGTTTAAATAAAACCAGTTCCACCTACATACTCCCTAAGGAAATTGTCATCATTGGCACCTAACTTGGAACACCTTATTTTAATTTAAAGGATTTGACATGCTGGGAAATATGGGGGTATAGATACTTTTTTTGTGAAAAACTTTCACTTAGATTATTAGAATGAATACAATATGTTGATTTTTTTTGTCATTTATTTAGGTATATCACTTTTTTATCTGCAGGCATAGGTTGAATGAAGAGCGAATGTTTGCCTGTTCACATACGATGAAATAGCCAACAATTTCCATTGGGTAAACACATAGCAAGTGCAGCGCTAAAGCAAATTCTTAAATAGATTTTTCCATATAACGAAAAGTCCAATCCAGAGCTATATATATATATATATATATATATATATATATATATATTTAATCAGCCAAGACCCAACAGATGTCCAATAGGTGCCCAGGAAACCACCGAAAGAAGAAATCCTTTACCAACACCAGATGAAGATTACATTTATTTTCCATACCATCTGGTAAGGGACAGGGGGGTTGGTGAAGGATTTCTCCTTTTGGTGGTTTCCTGGTCACCTGTTGGATATCTGTTGGGTCTTGGTTGATTTTTAACTTTTTTTTATGTTTTTATATAAAAAAAGCTCTGGATTGGACTTTCATTATATGAAAAAATCGATTTTAATAATTTGTTTTAGTGTGCTGCACTTCCTATGTATTCATGTTTATGAATTGTAACCTGCAACATCCGTATTTAACAATTCTCCGTCCAGCCCATGTACATAAACAGCTGGAAGGGAGCAGTGCAGGAGCAGGTGGCTGTTTATAAACGGCCTCCGCATTCACTGCCTGTGCGCGCTCCCTGGGAGTGCCTGCTGTGGAACATCGAACATCGATCGCTGTACGGGAACTCTGAGGTCCCAATCATGTGATCACTGATTGGCCAATCAGTGATCACATGAATAGCAGTAAACAAGATGTCACTTCTGACATTGCTTACTACGTGTGAAATCTGCAAATGATCATAGAGGTCACATGATACAAGGCTATTCACAACAGCCTTGTACGATGTGACAAGCTGTGACCAATCACAGCTCTCACAGTATTTTTCAATGGCTGCAAGAATGCAGCCAGAGAGGAGGAGAAATTATTGCTTTTACAGCCTTTATGGGGTGTAAAAGCAATCTGTGTAAAAAAAAAAAAAAAAAAATCTTCATGGTGACAGTATATTAAAAAACATAAATAATAATATATAAAAAAAAAAAGTAAGAACATTTTTTGAAAAAAAAAAAAAGTAATTTGGGTTATTTATTTTTTTTTTTTACTAAAAAGATAGCTGAATACATTTTTTGGCCAAGATTTATGAAGAAAGATTATTTATTTGCAAAATTTTATAAGAAAAACACTTTTTTTCAAAATGTTTGGACTTTTTCATTTATATAGCAAAACAATTTAAAACCCAATGCTGAATAAATACCACCAAAATAAAGTTTTATCTGTCTCAAAAAATGCTAAACAATTCATATGGGTACAGTGTTGCATGACCGTGCAATTGTCATTCAAAATGTGACAGCACTGAAAGCTGAAAATTGGCCTGGACAGGAAGGGGGTGAAAGTGCCGAGACTTGAAGTGGTTAAAGGTGTGCTGTTATAATTGCTTGAACACAGTTTTGCAATCTCGACTTGATTGCGCACCATGGAAAAGATGAGGATGCTTCTTCGGCTTGTGTGAATTTGCTATGAATGGCAAAGACAAAGTATTGTAATGAGAAAGGTCAGGATGCAGTTTGTGTTTTTCTTTATTGATAACAAGGGTTAATATTCAATCACAGTCGCATACACAATAAATTGCTTTGTGTATCACATTATGCCGCATTGCAAAAACTGCAGACATAATCAGATAGAGGATAGTACAAGTGGTGCAAGCTTGTTTCCAATGATACCTTGTGTTTCTACCAGCAGATATGAGTTGTTTGTGAGTGCACATCATTCAAGTGACATTGCTGGCAGCCAATCAGCAGGGCTAATTCAATGACAGAGACAGAACGATGTATCTGTATGCGGCTCCTGGTCACTATGGAGACTGAGACATTTGGAGTTTATGCAGCTACCATAGAACTGTATTTTGACCATTTAGTTACCATATAAACACAGACCTATGCGGCATGCCGGCACGGAGCTCTTCTCACCATTACCCACAGCCGTTTTTATGTTAACCTTGATGGAAGCCTCAGCCGAAGACAAATTATCTTTTCATTTTATTCCACTATCAAGAGAGTATAATACATTTGCTAAGTTGCCATAGCTCTGTATTTGAATTTGTAGGGATTCACTAAATGTTTTTTTTTTTTTGTATAAAGTACAAAGACATGCTTGTATAGTAGATTGTGTTTACTGTGGTTGTTTGAATTTCTAATTCACTCATGGAGAGTGAGGGAATTTAAGTGACATGGACAACATTGTTATTGAACAAAGGAAAAAAAAAGAAACCTTGTGCTTGTGTTCTTTTTTCATATCAATTTAAAGCAGTTCTAAAAGAACGATATTAAAGGTTTTGGTTTAGAAAACAAAAAAAGAAAATAATAACATGTTATACTTACCTGCTCTGTGGTTTTTCACAGAGCAGCCCTGATCTTTCTCTTCTCGGGTCCTCCGCCAACACTCCTGGCCCCCTTCCCTCTGCTGAGTGCCCCCAGAGCAAACTGCTTGCTCTGGGGGCACTCATGTATGCTTGCTCCTGAGCCCCGCTCTGTGTGTTTATAGGAAACTCACTCCTCATTGGCTTGGATTGACAGCAGTGGAAGCCAATGGCTCCCTCTGCTGTGTCTCAGCCAATGAGGAGAGAGAGTCGTG